GCAAGTCTGCTGGAAAGCCCAAGGCTGTGGTCCTTCAGGCCTGGGCTTCCCAAACCCTCAACTGGTTGGGGTTGACCCAGGGGAACCCCAACAGGAGGAGTCGTGGATGCCCTGCACCTACAGAGCTCAGCTGGCTCCTAGCTCTGCATCCTGTCTCTGAGTGGCTACTGTCATGCCTTGTTCTGTCCAGGACTGTCACCCGGGAAGGGGTGCAGCTGCTGTCTGTCTCCTTGGGGAGGGGTATGACAGCCACTACCTCCTCACTGCCCTCTATCAGGACTCTGCTCGCTTGTCCGACCAGCTCTCATCTCTGAGGGTCAGACTTAGGTGGGGCTGTGTGCATGGGGGCTGCACAGAGGGTGGCCCTCCCGTCCCCCTGCCCTGCCCCTGCAGCCTCCTGTGTAAGAGTGGATGTAGCTGAGGGGGGGTATAAGTGGTGGCTCAGTATGGGGGCGCGAGCTGCCCGCTCAGGAGCCAGACTGCCAGCACTCCCACCCTGGCTGTGCAACTTGGTGACCCAGTGTCGCCCTCTAGGACACAATCACCTCCACCTCCATCTGCTGCCCAGTGGACTCCAGCTCCCGTGTGTCCGAGGAGAACTGTGCTCACGGGGTTTGCTGTTATTTATTTACTGTATTTATTTTGTTGGTGTTCAGAATGCACACAGCAAAACGTACACCAGTTCCACAGTTTCCACACATACAGTTCAGTGACACGGATGAGTCTCCCAGTTTGCAAACATACTCACCCTCCTTTTCGGAGTTGTTCCTCGCTCATTAACATAAACTCCCTGCCCCTAAGGATCCTCTCTAATCTTTCGAGTGGCTGTTGTCACTTTGATCAATGCAGATGATTCTTAGAACAGAATCATGCTCCAAAGGCAGACCTTTTTCTCGAGCTGAACTATTGTTTGGTTTTAAGAAGACTTCAGGGGATATTTCTGGTTCAAGGTTTAAGGATTATCCCAGGGCAGTAGTTTCAGGGGTTCATCCACTCTCCTTGGCTCCAGAAAGTCTGGATTCCATGAGAATTTGAAATTCCATTCTGTATCTTTCCTCCTTTGGATCCAGATTCTTCTGTGAAATCTTTGGTCAAAACGTTCAGTCATGGCAGCCAAGCACCAGCCAGTTCTGGTCTCGTGGCAGAGGAGGCAATTGGCCGCGCACTCCATAGCCTTCTCCTGGTCCCAACTGTCCTTCCCCACTGTTCTGGAGAACAGAGACCAAGTGTTGTGGCGTGGATGGCCGATGGCAAGCTTTTAAGACCCTGGGCACTAGGAAATGAGCTGGGAGGTGAACAGAGGCACTGAACACGTTATTAGGCCAATTAACTGGGATGTCCCGTGAAGCTATGGATCTAAAGCTCCAAACCAAGGAAGCAAATCCCATGAGGTGTGTGTTGTACATAAGCAGCCTCAACAGCTACTCCTTTTGACACATTTGTTTGTTTCTGTATTCATCTGGGGAGACTCTATAGGTTGGCTGTAATCTTTACAGAAGTGGTTTGCTGGGTGGGTTTGAACAAACAGCCTTTGGGTCACCGGCCATGAGCAGACCTTCTGTGACACCCAGGCACCTTTAGTAGCTGCTCTTGTTTTTTCCTTTGTGTCACTGTAAATATGTCTATCACACAGCTTTTGCCAATTCAGCTGGTCAGCGGTGCAACCCTACCCTTAATCAATGTGATTTTTCCATCATCATTAATCCTTCTTTTCCCCTCCCTCCTGCCCCTGGTAACCACTGATAAACTTTGTTCTTTATACATTTGCCTTTTCTTGTCTTTGTCTATAAGTGAGGTCATGCAATGTTTGTGCTTTTGTGATTGACTTATTTCACTCAGTATAATATCTTCCAGCTCCATCCGTACTGCAGCACGGACCAAGACTTCATTTCTCCTACTGGCTGAGCAGTATTCCATTGTGTCATGTGTTTTGACCCTCTAGTGGTGTAATGCCTAAGGCACTTGACTGCTCACCAGAAGGCTGGCGGTTCAAACCCACCAGCCACTTCTCAGAAGGAATGTTGGGCAATCTACTTCCGTAGTGATACTGCCTCGGAAACCCAAGGAGGGGTTGCTATGAGTCATGTCTGACTTGATGGCACATAACAACAACAGTGCTGCTCTCACAAAAAATACCACAAGTGGATGGCTTTCACAAACAGGGATATTCTCTTACAGTTTAGGAGGCTAGAAGTCCAAGTTCAAGTGCCAGCTCTAGGGGCTGGATGAAGGGCCCTTGACCTTGGGCTTCAGCTCTACCTCTGGCTCCTGGCCCACTGGAGCTAAAGTCTTCTCTTAACTCATAAAGCTGCTGGCTGCTGAGGCTGACAAGTTCAAAGTCGACAAGTAAAATGGTACAGTCCCAAAATTATCAAGCAACATGGCAGGCCACTAATGCCCAAGATTGGCAGACAACATGGCAGGCCAAATGGAGGATCCAAATGTGCAGAGAAGCTGGAGACCTTCCTCAGAGCTCCTCCTTATATACTGGGAGCAAATCACATCCCTAAGGCAGCTACTCAGCTGCTCATGGTAGATTCTACCATGGAGTTGATTGCCAATCTCATCATGGGTAATAACTACATCCAGCTGCCCAGCCACTCAAAACCAGGCCCAGCCAAGTTGACACCTAACCTTACCTACCACAGTATGTACCACATTTTGTTTCTCCATTCATCTATTGATGGGCATTGAGGTTGTTTCCACCTTTTAACTCTTGTGAATAGTGCTGCAATGCATGTTGGTGTACATGTCTCTGAGTGTTTTGCACATATACCTGGGAGTAGACTTGCTGGGTCAAATGGTACTTCTGTGTTTAGATTTTTGAGGAACCGCCACACTGTTTTCCACAGCAGCTGTACCGTTTTGCATTCCCACCAGCAATGGGTCAGCGTTGCAATCTCCCCACATCCTCACCAATATTCATTATTTGTTTTTATCTTAGCCGTCCTTGTGGGAGTGAAGTGGTATCTCATTGTGGTTTTGATTTGCGTCTCTCTGATGGCTAATGGCACTGAGCATCTTCTCATGTGTTTGAATGTCCTCTTTGGTAGAATGTCTGTTCAAGTCCTTTGCCCATTTAATGACTGAGTTACTTGTCTTTTTGTTGTTAAGTTATATATATACACACACATACATATTTGGTTATTAGATTCTTATCAGTTATATGGATTCCAAATACAGTCTCCCAGTCACCTTTGTGTTGTCTTGTCGCCTTTTTGGTAGCTCGGTAGGATTTTCAGTGGTTGATTTTGAAGCAGATCAACAGGCTTTTCTTTGGAGGTCTTCTGAATGGCTGGAACCCGGCCTCTCCTGACTCATGTAAAAGGACTCAGTAACCATTGTTGCTGTTAGGCACTGTTGAGTCAGCTCTGACTCATAGCGACCCTGTGTACAACAGAATGAAACACTACTGGGTCCCAATAACCATTTTTAAAAATCCCCAAAAACCCAAGCTCACTGCCATCGAGTCAATTCGACTCATAGTGACCCCTCCTTGCGTTTCCAAGGCAGTATCTCGTAGCATAGTGGCTAAGACACTTGCCTGCTAACCAGACGGCTGGTGGTTCAAACCCACCAGCCACTCCTCGGAAGGAAGGTTGGGCAATCCTACTTCCGTAGGGATACTGCCTCGGAAACCCAAGGAGGGGTCGCTATGAGTCAGGTCTGACTCGACGGCACAAAACAACAACAACAACAACATCTCTACGGGAGTAGATTGCCCAATCTGCCTTCCAATGAGTGGCTGGTGAGTTTGAACTGCCAGCCTTCTGGTTAGCAGTCAAGTGCTTTAGGCACTACACCACCAGAGTTCCTTGAGCTCCCATTCGCGATTGTTACTGCCTGGTGGGAGGGGTGAGTAGCGTGGGGCTGCCCTCCCTTTCTCCTTACCACCTCCCCTCCCCTCCACTGCACCACAGGTCCCCCCCCCCCCAGGAGCTTCATCCTGCCTCATTAGAGTGGAGCTCTGTGGTTGTTTTCCCCAGGCTGTCTGGCCCCAGCCAAGACCCCAGGGAGCCCAGGCCTCTCAGGCACAGAGCAGCACTTAGAGGTGGCGGCCTCTCAGCGGGTGCCTCTGTGGGGAGCCAGTGGGAGTGAGTGCAGGGGGCAGGGGTCCCTCCCATTACCCTGCGTGGGGCCCTGCTCTCCCTCCCAACAGCCCCTTGAACAGAGATGTTGGGCACTTAGTATAGGCCAGTATCATGGCTAGGCTTGGTACACAGCTCATCTCGTGGGATAACCATGGCCTTCTAGGTCCCCATTGACAGAGGAGATTGGAGCTCTCGGCCCCATTCAGTCACCAGTCTATCTCCATCAGCCACCAGCCAGCTCTGAGACAGGCGTGGAGGGGTGAGGCAGGCAGGGCAGGCCAGGAAGGGTCGCAGATGGCACCTGGCTATAGTGCAAGATGAAGTCTGTGGGACCCTGCTTCCTCCACTGTGGGATTGGGCAAGTTACTGTTTGGTCCCCGATTTCCTCATCTGTCAACTGAGAGTAAGAGCTATCCTTGTCATTGGGAGTGTGGAGGGTTCATTCTGTGTCGAGTGTTGTAAACAGGTCCTGACACAGGAGTGCCTGGGAAGGGCAGGCATTGACGTTGTTGAGCCTCTTTGGTGGAGGCAGAATATGGTGTGGCACTGCATTTAGAGGAAGCCCCCCCACCTTGGGATCTGGGGCCCACCACAGCTTGGGCATCCCCTCTGGTGCTTCCTCTTTGGGGTACCTCGCTGGAGTTGTTTGTTCTGAGACTTTCTCTTTGGGCGTCTGAAGTCAAGTGACCCCAACCTCACTCCCTGAGAGCCTCATGTGGGAGGACGACCCAAGGCTCAGGGCCTGGGGCTGCCACCTCTGCCACCTGCAGTAGGACTTGGCCGGCCTCGGCACCAGGGGCGTGGCCTCTGGGCCTCGCATTCTTTGCTCAGGTCCTGCGTGAGGTGGGTGAGGTCAGAGTTCATGGGCTTTGTGAATTCTGATGCCAGCCTGTCCTGAACCCTTTGCAGATGGTGGTTCTCATGGATCCCATGGAGGACCCGGACGACATCCTGCGGGCCCACCGCTCCCGGGAGAAGTCCTACCTGTTTGACATGGCCTTTGACTTCACTGCCACCCAGGTAGGGGTAGGCCTGGGCCTGGGGACACTCAGGAGCACCCCACAGCCTTTTGCCCCCCTCTGGAGGGAGCTCTGGGCGTTCTGCCCTTGACCCTCAGCCTCCCTGCTGCACTTGCTCCACAGTCCATTCTCTTTAGCTCTGGCCCCAGCTGCCGCGCACACGCCCAGCCCCAGCCTGGACACATCCCATAGGGAACAAACCTCAGCTGGCTCCTCTCCAAGCTGGAGGGAATGCACTGAAGCCCATCTTCAAGGGGCAGGTGGAGCATGGTGGCAGGGAAGCTGACACCTGGAGACCCCTTCTTGCCCATCTGTAGGATGTTTCTGGGAGCAGATGTCATGCGTCCCAGGCGGGGGTTGGGAGATGGCCATGAGGGGAGGCATCTCGGGTGCCCTGAGCTCTGTTTCAAGCTAGTAGCACCCCCTTTGGTGTGAAAGCAGCGACCTCCCCCCACTCCCTCAGCACTTGTCCCTCTGGGGGCTGGCTGTGCCCCTGGGGGTCACTGCTCTGCCAGCCTGGCTCCCAGCCACTGATGGTTCTCTCTTCCCTGCAGGAGATGGTGTATCAGGCCACCACCAAGAGCCTCATTGAAGGCGTCATCTCAGGCTACAATGCCACTGTCTTTGCCTACGGCCCCACCGGTGAGGGGGCAGACCTGCAGAGCCCACAATACCCCTGGGGTCCCCACCTTGGGAAGTAGGCCCCTCAGAGAGTTAGCCTGGCTCCAGCTGGACCAGGAGTCAAGGTTGTGACTGATCCCCACTCCACCCAGGTCCCTTCTGCCCCAAGGTCCCAGCTTTGAGTCCCCTGCCCCTCACTACCTCCTGGCCGTCTGGGTGGGTCTGGCCTCTAGCACAGACCCAGGTATGCTAAGCTAGGTCTCACTTTTGCCCCCGCCTCCCCTGCTCAGGCTGTGGGAAAACCTACACCATGCTGGGCACAGACCACGAGCCAGGCATCTACGTCCGGACACTCAATGACCTCTTCCGTGCCATCGAGGAGACCAGCAACGACATGGAGTATGAGGTGTCCATGTCCTACCTGGAGGTGAGCCTCCACCCTGGACGTTGGGGCTTGGACAAGAAGCCTGTAGGACAGGCCACTGGGCAGTTTCCTGGGGAGCTCATCACTGCTATCTTCCTTCGTGCTGTTAGCCTCCCTGTACACAAATCTGAGGTTAAGAGAGGTTGGGAAGCTAGGTCCAAGTCACACAGGAAGTGTGGGAGCCGAGACTCAAACTCAGGGCACTGTGGGTTTTGTTTTGTTTTTCATTATGATTTGGGTGAAAGTTTGCAGAGCAAATTCATTTTCCATTCAATATCGCACACACTTTGTTTCGTGTCATCGATTACAAGCCCCGCAGAGTAACAGCTCTGTTCTCACTTCCTCCTTTTGGTTACTTTTTGCCTGTGTCCTTCTTCCCTGTGCATTCCTGCCCTCGGAGCTTTCTCCCTGTGCAAATGCTGCCCTTCTGATCTCCCGTGATTGATTGTTCTAAGGAGTGTACCTACCTGGTATAAATGTTCACCTTGGACACCTGTCTGTTGTTTGGCTGGAAGCCACAGGAGTGAGTTCAACTCTAGGCCTGAAGCGTGACTCGGGGCCATTGTCTCAGGGGTTTCACCAGAGGGCTCTGTGGTTTTAAAGCCAAGCCCTGCTTCTTCACCCACTGATGAGCACAGAACTCCGCCCCAGCCTGCCGCCTGCCACCTGCATCTCACAGCCCCGTTCCTTACAGTGGGCATGCCTACCCTACTCTGCTCCCTTCAAGCACTCCACACCCACAGGTGAAGGTGACACGTGCACTCCAGGTGCAGCTTGAACCTCGAGGCACAGCCTCCCCACGCCCACCTAGGAGCACAACCACCAGGCAGTGAAGGGACAGCAGGGGTGCTGCACGCAGAGGCCAGAAGGCAGCAGAGTCAGTGCGCTGGGCTCCCTCTGGCTCTAGCTGCTGCCTTGGGGGGGCTGATAAACTCCAAGGTGATAATCTCTAGGGGCAGGGGCGGGGGAGGGCAGGGAGGCAGATAGCCAGAGCTGCCCCAGCCAGCTTCCAATCAGCGAGCAAGATTCACTTTGTGCATGCGAGCAGGGAGGGGAGGCTGATGGGCTGCCTAGCAACCGACAGGGGTGGCCTGTCTCCAGTTATCTAGTGTTGCCATAATAGAAATGCGTACCTCAGCAATATTACAGGTTTGGCTCCCCTGCAAGAAAGTGAGTATGCCAATAAAGTGAGTCACACAGAGTTTTTGGTTTCCCAGCACACATAAAAGTTGTGTTTACACAATACTGTAGTCTGTTAGGAGCTCTGGTAGCACAGTGCCTAAGTTATTTGACTGCTAACCAGAAGGTCAGTGGTTCAAACCCACCAGCTGCTCCGAGGAAGGAAGATGAGGCAATCTATTTCCGTAAAGATTTACTGCCTGGGAAACCCAGTGGGGGTCAGTATGAGTTGGAATTGACTAGATGGCAGTGGTTGGGTGGTCTGTTAAGTGTGCAATAACATGATGAAAATATTTGAAATATTGTGAGCAGTCCCAAAAAGTGACGCAGAGACATGAAGTGACACACACTTGGGGAAATGGCGTCCATAGACTTGCTTGGTGCAGGTTGGCACAAACCTCCAATTTTCTAAAAAATATGATCTGCAAAGTGCAATAAAACACGGTATGCCTGTACCAGAAAGGGGGGCTTTAACAAACCAAGTTATTTTCTCACAGTTTGGGAGGTTGGAAGGCTGGAAGGCTGGATTCAGGGAGCGGGCTTGCTCTCTGTGTTGGCTCTGGGAGCGGGCTCTAGGGCCAGGCTTGCTCTCTGTTGGCTCTGGGAGCGGGCTCTAGGGCCAGGCTTGCTCTCTGTTGGCTCTGGGAGCGGGCTCTAGGGCCAGGCTTGCTCTCTCTCTGTTGGCTCTGAAGGAAGAATCTTGTCTCTTCAGTTCTGCTTCCCGGTTCCTTGAAGATCTCCGTGTGTCTTGGCATCTCTTTGACCCCATCCCTCTCTGCTGCTTAATTTCTTAGAGCTCCAAAGAGACTGACCAATGCTGCCTCATTAACATAACAAAAACACACTCTTCCCAAATGGCATTATAACCATAGGCATAGAGGTTAGGATTTACAACACATATTTGGAGGGGGACATAATTCAATCCATACATGCCCTTTGAATGGCTCCCCCACCGGGCTGACGTCTTCCTGCCATCAGTCAGATCCCAGGGGCTTTGAACCAGCTTGAAATGGTTCAGTTGTCAACAAAGCAAAACCAGAAAAGGCTCAAATTTTGAAAATGTAGGTGAAGTGGAATGATAAACCAGAATGGGAGAAATTACAGGTCAAAGCCCTGGAATGGAAGACTCAGAAGAGGCATACTGGGTCCTTTAAGAAGCCTGATGTGGGAGATTGGATTCTTGGCAGAACTATAGACAGCAACTCATATAGCAGGGTCAGCCACCATCTTTCAGTGGGGCACCGTTGCTTCTGACTCTGCTGGCCAAGAGATTTGGTTGCTATGCAATGCACACTCTGCTCTTGTTTTCTAAGGGGGAGATTAAGTATCTAGCAGCCCCCCCCCCATTCCATTTACTGTACCAGCTCACCCATATTTTACAAATTTAGGCCCATTCTGATTTTGCTTCATCAGCCGTGACTGAAGAGGGAAGCACCAGTTCAAAGCTCTGCTGAGGCCCCATCCCAGTGCCCAATCTATCTGTAAAGCATCTCCTGCCTGGTTGTGGCTCCTGTATCCTCAGCTCAAACAGCCTGATGTGTCCCTGTGAATGCTGAAGCCCCCACAACCCCCACAGAAAGGAAAGGGCCATGCCCCCTAGTCTGGATTTCTCAGGAAGGACCTCAGGAAGTGTGAGCTCCTGTTCCCTTCCTGCTGGGCAGGACCCCTGCCTGTCTCCCTCTGACACACACATCCCATTAGATCTACAACGAGATGATCCGGGACCTGCTGAACCCCGCCCTGGGGTACCTAGAGCTAAGGGAGGACTCCAAGGGAGTGATCCAGGTAGCCGGGATCACCGAGGTCTCCACCATCAATGCCAAAGAGGTGAGTCTGGTGCAGCCAGAGGCAGGGACACTTACCACCTGAGGGGGTACAAGGTGGGCAGAACTGAAGCTCAGCTGGGGCTGGGCTGGGGCAGACCCAGAGACCCCTGAGTAGTGTCAGGAGGGAGACTCACACTGCCACCATGTGCAATGGTGCTGACCCTGGGGTAGGGGATGACAAGGCAACACAGCCTCCCCATTTATACACAGAGGCCTCCAGGGGCCAAGGACCTCCCCAGATCCCAGCCACCTCTCAGAAGCAGGACCCCTCAGCCCTGGGAATGCCTCCTCTCTGCAGGAACCCCACGGGTCCCCAAGAGTCACCACCCTCCCTCCCTCTGCGTCCAGATCATGCAGTTGCTGATGAAGGGGAACCGGCAGAGGACGCAGGAGCCCACGGCTGCCAACCAGACATCATCGCGCTCCCACGCCGTGCTCCAGGTGGCCGTGCGCCAGCGCAGCCGCATCAAGAACATTCTGCAGGAGGTGCGGCAGGGCCGCCTCTTCATGATTGACCTGGCCGGCTCGGAGCGCGCCTCCCAGGTGAGCGTTGCTCCCAGGTGGGGCTGGAGGTCCCAGGGGGAAGGAGAGGACAGGATGATGGCGTCCTAGGTGAGGCTGACTCTCCAGGGGCTTGGGGAAGGCTGCCCTCAGGGGAGGGGAAGGACAGGGACGAGTAGTGTCCCCAGGGTAAGGGACTAAGGCATGTCTTAGAGAAGCAAAAGAGGAGAATAGGATGGGAGGGGTATCCTGAAGAAAAGCCAAGGAGGGGCCGTCTGTAGGAAGGGGGGGAAGGATAGGAGGTTGTAGGGGAGCAGGAAAGAAATGAAGGAGAGACACACTCCTTGGCTGGGGCCCGGGCTGGGAGGAGCCTAGAGAGGGCCTCTATGGCTTGTTGGAGAGGAAGGTCCCCGCCATCTCCGTTCCCCAGCTGAGCCCTGCTTGCCTGGCTCCGAGGCTTTGAGAGGCCAGCACCACGGGGAATGCTCTCACACTCAGACACATGCTCTCACGCTCACACATACCCTCACATGCTCACACACACAACCACACATGTAATTACATACAACTCACAGTCATACACTCACACACTCTTGTTCTCACACTTTTAACTCACATCTACACACACAACCCCCCCACTCATTCACATACACACATTCTCACATGGTCACTCATACACACTCATAATGCACACACACTCATTGTCTCACATACACATGCTCTTACACTCACACCCATGTACTCTCACTCATACACACTCATTCTCTTTCTTGTGCATGCACGTGCACACACATGCACACACACACACACTGGGCTCTCCTCCCTTCTGGCCCTGGAGCCTGGAACACCCTCTAATGCCTGAGGTGTGCCTACGGACGTGCCCTGCTCTCAGCTGAGCTGTTTGGGAGGCTGGTCCCGTGGACCCCAACCTCCGCGCCTTCATTCCCGGTGCTGCATGTTGAGCTGGGCTCCCTGGAAGACAAAGACCTGGGCCCCCTCGGGCCTACTTGGAAATCCATGGCTCTTGTTCAGAATGCTTACCCCCATCAAGGAGGGTGGGCCAAGGCTCTCTGGCGGCATCTCACCTCCCTGTTACCAAGCCTCAAGGGAGAAGAGCAATTTCCAACCCAGACTCACCCGAGGCATGGGGAGAGGGTGGCTGGGGCGACACCCCAGTCTCTGCCCCTTAGGCCAGGATCACATGCACTGCTCACCCAGACCCAGAACCGGGGGCAGCGCATGAAGGAAGGCGCCCACATCAACCGCTCCCTGCTGGCCCTGGGCAACTGCATCAACGCACTGAGTGACAAGGGTAGCAACAAGTACATCAACTACCGTGACAGCAAGCTGACCCGGCTCCTGAAGGTACAGCCGCAGCCAGGCCCAGGCGCTGGGCCGGGGAGGGCCGCCAGGGGCCGCAAGAGGACAGAACGCCATTATATTCAAATCTGAGACAAACAATGACCGAAGCATTTAGTATAAGTCTATCCCGTGCAACATTTTGGGACATACTTATACTAAAAACATAATTATCTATCTGTGATTCAAATGTAGCGGAATGCCCCTCAGCAAGGGGTGGGCAGCCAGGAAAGAAAGGAGCTGACACCTCCCAGGAACTGGGGGTCCAAGGAAACCAAGAGATTCTAGACTTGGAAGCTCAGGTCGTCAGCTTCGGGGTCCATGGGCCTGCCATCTGGGGGCTACCTCCTTTGTGCAGGGGGTGCCTTTGGCCTTAATCACAGCAATAGTACTGAGTGCCAGGCCTGGCTGGGCTCTGTGCCAGTGCTTTACCTCTGCCGGCTTGTTTTATCCTTGCAACAACTCTGTGAGTTCGAGGGCTGCCTATTGCCATTTGCAGAGGAGGAAAGTGAGGCACGAGAGACTAAGAACTTTCCCAGGGTCTCAGGCTAGTAAGTTCTGGAAGGAGCAGGCAACAAGCCGGCCTGCTCTAATGTAGAGACAGTTTACTCACCAGCTGCCATTGGCCTGCCCTCAGTATGCACCTACAACGCTGGAGAGAGAGGGACAATGGCCAAATCATCCCCATTTTAAAGAGTGAGAACCTGGGATTAGGGAGATGGCAGACCTGCTGGAGCCTGGCTTTGTTCCTCTGTGTCGTTTGCGCACACTCTTCCTCCTGGATGCCGCCTCATGGATACAGAGACAAGGTGGCCACAGGCCACCCACAGCCTTGGTGCAGAGGCCCGCACCTCCCCGTTCCCCCACAGCAGCTGAGCCAACGATGCTGCGGGCAGTCAGGAAAGGGGAAGACCTGGGAGGCCAGAGGGAGGGAGGACAGGAAAGGGGCAGGCCCCATGGGGTATGTGGCCTGGCTGACATCTGACTGGTTCCCAGCCCAACAGGGCCTGTGACCTTTCCTCCTTCCCTTATAGGGGGAGGGGAGGGGAAGTTGGGAGACCCTGTCGGCAGGTGCCCTAGACAAAACCCTTAAATGCAAGTTTTGAAGAGAAAACCGGAAGTGGAGGAGGGAGAAGGTGGGGGAACAGGGGCTCGGGGGAGTTCTTGTGATGGCAGCAGCCAGGGCTTCATGTGTGTGTGAGAGTGTGTGAGCATGTGTGTGAGTGTATGTATGTGAGCATGTTTGTGAACACGTGTGTGTGTGTGAGCATGTCTGTGGGGTGAGCGTATGTGTGTATGTGAGAATGGGTATGTGGCAGTGAGTGTGTGTGTGTGTGTGTGTCACTGTGGGTGCATGTGGTGGGGGAGCGCACACGGGGCACCCTGCACAGCTTGGCAGGAGGACAGCGGGGGTGTCAGTCCCACGCAGACCTCAGCCCCAACCCCCCTCCCCAGGACTCCCTGGGGGGAAACAGCCGCACGGTGATGATCGCCCACATCAGCCCAGCGAGCAGCGCCTTCGAGGAGTCCCGGAACACCCTGACCTACGCCGGCCGGGCTAAGAACATTAAGACCAGGGTAAGGGCCCCTGTGTGTCCGTCCAGGGCACGCCACCCCACTCACTCTCTGTGGTACCAGCCTCCGTTGCACGGACCTCAGTCCCTAGTCCTGGCCACCCCTGTGTCCCTGGCCTGCTTGCCTGCCCGAAAGCCCACAGCTCCTGAAGGCACTATTCCTCTCTGAAGGTCTGTGTATCCCTGCCTCACCCCCTCCATTTCCCGCCTCCTTGTTCAGATGCTCATTCAGACAGTGAACCTTTTTAAGCCCCTAACCACAACGTTCTGATGTGAGCTAGCATTTAGGGGGCACTTGCTCTGAGCCCTTTAACATATCATCTCTCATGTCATCCTCAGAGCCAGGCAGGTGTTGCTATTATCCCCACTTTACAGTTTGGAAAAGTGAGGCTTAAGGAAGTTACATGACTTCCCCCTGCTGATCAGTGATGGAGCTGAAACTAGAACCTGTCCACCGGTGAACACGTTGACCTTGGTTTCTGTTAAGTAGTCTATTCTGCCTTGTGTCTGCGTGTGTGGAGGGGGCGGGCAAATGTAGGATCACCTCAAGCCATGACACAGTGAACACTCTCTCAACACCTCCAGTTTGCCAACCAGTGTTCCAAGGGCTTGAAGTTTTATTGCGGCCCTCCAAGAGCTTAGTGGCAGAGAAGACATATCCTTGGAATCGTGACTTGATGGTTCAAGGCAGAACATTATGAGTTCAGGGAAGCGATGCCACATGGGGTGCTGAGGTAGTCGGGGAGAGGGGAGGGAGGTGGGCGTGGGCTGGTAGGACCTGGGGCAGCTCTGCGGGGTAGGTGAGCGGGACCCTGAGGGATACAGTCTTAGTTTTCCAACACAGCGATGCTTTAACAGCAATGCTACAGGTGAGCGGCTTTAAAGAACAGAAATTTATTTTCTCAGCGTTCTGGAAGGAGCTCTGGTGGTGCAGTGCCTAAGACACTTGACTGCTAACCAGAGGCTGGCGGTTCAAACCCACTAGCCACTCCTCGGAAGGAAGGTTGGGCAATCTACTTCTGTAGTGATACCGCCTTGGAAACCCAAGGACGGGTCACTATGAGTCAGGTCTGACTCGACGGCACACAACAACACAACAACATAAGATTTCGTACTGGTTTTGAAAGTAGCAGTATTAAACTATTTATTTCTATACATTCACTGACAATTAACCTAAAATGATAATGACGTTTAATTTTCATCGTCTTAAAAAAATTCAATACAAAGAAAAACTTAATGTAAAATATATTATTTTAAAAAAATCTATTTTAAAAAATATACTAGAACTCACTGCAGCACTAAGTCATTTTAAAAATAGTATGATGATAAAAACAATCCTGACATACTGTATAGGGAGCTCTGGTGGCACAGTTATTAAGGCATTTGGCTGCTAAGTAGAAGGTCATTGGTTCAAACCCACCAGCTGCTCTTCAGGAGGAAGATGGGCAATCTACATCTGTAAAGATTTATAGCTTTGGAAACCCTGTGAATTGGAACCAACTCAATGGCTGTGGATTTTGGTAACACACTGTATAAATATTAAATGTTTCAAAATACTTTTTTTTAAATAAGAAATACTCAGTCCTATAAAATACACTGAAAACAAATTTAATTTTGATTTAGGTAGCATTTCACTACTAACATTTTATAGTCACCGTAAAATTGATAAGAATTTATTCATAAAATACTGGAAATACAAAGTGTTTCAAACCTAATACATGAATCCGTAAAGGCAAAGCACAATAAAATATTTAAATCTTTAATATTCATCCCTGTTTTAAGCTGAGGAACTAACATAACATGACATAAACGTTTCATTAAATACAGATTTAATACATACAAAATCATACAGTTCATTAAGAATACATCTTTGTAATAGACCATAACTACATATAATTGGAAGAACGTCCTCTATAATTTTGTTTCATTGAAACTATCTATCCCTGTTGTCTCATCTCAACTCATTGTACACCAGCAGGGCTTGTTAATACAGGGCGCCTATCAACAGAGATTTGGAAGACAGCTACCTGGCCAACTGACTGGAAGAGATCCATATTTGTGCCCATTCCAAAGAAAGGTGATCCCACAGAATGTGGAAATTATAGAACAATATCATTAATATCGCACGCAAGTAAGATCTTACTGAAGATAATTCAGAAACGTTTGCAGCAGTATATTAACAGAGAACTTCCAGAGGTTCAAGCTGGATTCAGAAGAGGACATGGAACAAGGGATATCATAGCTGTTGTCAGATGGATCTTGGCTCAAGGCAAAGAATACCAGAAAGATGTTTACTTGTGTTTTATTGACTATGCAAAGGCATTTGATTATGTGGATCATGACAAATTATGGATAACATTGAGAAGAATGGGAATTCCCGAGCACTTGATTGTACTCATGAGGAATCTGTACCTTGACCAGGAGGCTGTCGTTCGAACAGAACAAGGGGACACTACATGGTTTAAAATCAAGAAGGGAGTGCGTCAGGGTTGTATTCTTTCTCCACACTTATTCAATCTATATGCTGAGCAAATAATCCGAGAAGCTGGATTATATGAAGAAAAACATGGTATCAGGATTGGAGGAAGAATCATTAACAACCTGAGATATGCAGACGATACAACTTTGCTTGCTGAAAGTGAGGATGACTTAAGGCACCTACTGATGAAGGTTGAAGAATACAGTCTGCAGTATGGATTACGTCTCAATGTAAAGAAAACAAAAATCCTCACAACTGGGCCAATGAGCAGCATTACAATAAATGGAGAGAAGATTGAGGTTGTCAAAGAATTCACGTTGCTTGGTTCTACAATTGATGCCAATGGAAGCAGCAGTCAGGACATTAGACGACGTGTAGCATTGGGAAAGTCAACTGCAAAGGAACTGTATCAAGTGCTGAGGAGCAAGGATATCTCCTTGAGGACTAAGGTGTGCCTGACACAAGCCATGATATTTCCAATCGCCTCCTATGCATGTGAGAGCTGGACAATGAATAAGGAAGACTGAAGAAGAGTTGATGCTTTTGAGTTGTGGTGCTGGCGAAGAATGCTGAAAGTACCATGGACTGCTAAAAGAACTAACAGATCTGTCCTGGAGGAAGTGCAGCCAGAATGCTCCTTGGAAGCAAGAATGGCCAGACTTCGTCTCACCTATTTTGGTCATGTTGTAAGAAGGGACCATTCCCTGGAGAAGGATGTCATGCTTGGTAGGGTGGAGGGTCAATGAAAGAGGGGGAGGCCTTCAACGAGATGGATTGACACAGTGGCTGCAATTATGGGCTCAAGTATAGCAGGGATTGTGGGGCTGACGCGGGATCGGGCAGTGTTTTCGTTCTGCTGTGCATGGGGTCGCTATGAGTCGGAAACGACTCGACGGCACTTAACAACATCAACAGGGCCACCTTTGATCTCAATATAACTTTATCTCCTTTTATTTGGAGAAGCAATTCCAGCTCATGGACATCACTGCTGGAAACCATAGTATTTCCTGAGTTGCTTCTCTTTGTTATACTTGCAGTATTGTTTCTTTTCAGATTTTTTTTATTATTATTATCATTTCCAAAATGCCTTTTAAATGTAATATGGCCTCTACCTTAACTTCAGAACTAATTAGAATTTGATAATGAGGCTCTAGATGAACTAATATGCTATCATTTTTAATAACTTTTTCCCTGACATCAAGTTTTTCAATGCATTTCCAAATGTGTCATTAAGAGTTCTTCATTTTAGCTTAGTTTATACCCACATACCAAAAATATCACTCGTGGTTATTGTTCACTTTGAAATCTTACTATAACTTTCTTTAAAGGTGTAAAGTTTCCAAAGTTAATTTGACACATGACCATTTGTCATCAGAAAAGTCACATTTCACATTATTCTCAGCTAACTCTGGTGGCATAGTGCCTAAGGCATCTGACTGCTAACCAGAAGGGTGGCAGTTCAAACCCACCAGCCACTTCTCAGAAGGAAGACTGGGGAATCTACTTCCATAGAGATACTTCCTCAGAAACCCAAGGAGGGGTTGCTATGAGTTGGATCGACTCGACGGCAATGAGTTTGTTTTTTTAACACATCACAGAGATTTCTGCATCCTGGTAAGGTTTCTAACACAGTGTGTACACTGATCCGCCTTGCTGGACAACCCGGTCCGGGTCTCCTCTGGTTCTTTTCTGAAAACGTGGTAGACGATGTTGGAATACAAAGGATTTGAACGAGTTCAGGACATTCTCCTAGAAATTGTTCCAGTTTGGCATCTTTATTGTTGTCTTCAGTAACTAAGACACTCCAGTCTTTTCTTACAAAGCTTGACTCTGATCATTAATGTGTGCAGGTCAGGGTGCACCGTCAGTCTTCCAAACTGTCCTTTTGCCCTGATATCTGCCACTGAATTTCACTATCATTTCTGAGCAAATCAATAAATTTAATCATATAAGAGCTATTATCCTTAAGTACAGAAGAAATGTGTTCTGAATCAGTGTTCTGCTCTAAAATTTGATGCACAGGGAGGTTTTTATGTCCAGACCTGCGTGTCTTTCTTTTACATGCACTCCTTAGGTTCCAAAGGCCAGGTCATTATGCAGAAATCGGGATTATGCAAAAATGGAGGATGACTACCTCATTATCCAACTGCCAGATTACCTCAAATATAACTGCCAGACCATCGAGGATCATGTCTCAGCCAAGCTGACACACAACCCTAACTGTCACGGCCGGTGTTACTCTCATCTCTCTCCTCGGCCCTCATTACTGCCAGATGTTCATCATTAATGTGCAAAATAGTATCGGACAGCAGATCTTTCACTACTGTCCTAGATGCGAAATGCCAACAAGAAGACAGTGAGGAGCAGGTGTAAGCCTTTCATTCCCAGTGTCAACAGCGGTACCTTACCATCTTGTGTGAACTGAGCGTTAGTTCCTAGAATTGAACCACTCGATCTATGGGCAACATCCCCTCTCAAAGAGAATATTCATTTTTCCTGATTAGTACTAATTCTGGAGCTAAGTTTTAAGGACATTTCTCTAACATTCTCTGAGTTGCTTGAAAAATTTTGACCAATTGAAACAAGAACTGGATATAGAACTTTAGTATCTAATTAACTCAAATGAACCATTAACTAAATAATTCACTGCATCCTCTAATGTATTTTGCTTATTTGGGATACTTCTGACCCTTTCTTCAACCTTCTTTGTCTTCCTGCTTTACACTGCACTGTATCCATCGTATTCATCCGTGTGGTGAGGTTTCAGGTGTCTCTAAATCCACTGCATGGCCTCCAGCCATATCTGTGTTGTGAATTTTACAAGTGCTTTTTCAATCTCTTTACACTTGAAAAATTCTCCACATGGCTTTTCTCTGGTTCATCCCATACAAGGAGTAGGATATACTAATAACATTACAACATATTTTATAGGCACTGTATTACATTATAAGGAGCTCTGGTGGTGCAGTGCCTATGGCACTTGACTGCTAACCAGAAGGTTGGTGGTTGAAATCTTCCAGCCACCCCACAGAAGGAAGATGGGGCAATCTACTTCCATAAAGATTTATCTCCTTGGAAACCCAATGGGGGTTGCTGTAAGTTGGAATCAACTCGATGGCAGTGGGTTTGGTTTTTTATATTACATTATGGAGTACTAGTGGCGCAGTGGTTAAAGCACTCGGCTGCTAACTGGAAGGTTGACGTTCAAGCCCATCAGCCACTCTGAGGAAAAAAGATGTGGCAATCTGCTTCCATAAAGATTTACAGCCTCAGAAATCCTATAGGACAGTTCTACTCTGCCTCATGGGGTTGCTGTGGGTCAAAACTGACTCAACAGCAAGGGGTTTTTTAGGTTATATTACATTATAGTTAAAACAAGCCTTAGACTTTGATAATATAGAGAGAACCCAAACCCAAACCAAAGCCCCTGCCATTGAGTCGATTCTGGCTCACAGCGACCCTCATTGGGTTTCTGAGGTGGTAAATCTTTACGGAAGTAGATTGCCTCGTCTTCCTTCCATGGAGCAGCTAGTGGGTTTGAACCGCCAACCTTCTGGTTAGCAGTCAGATGCCTTAGGCACCGTGTCACCAGAGTTCCTCTTAGTGAAATAACAGTGCATTGCAATTAGAACACTAATTTCCTTCCCACTGGTTACAGTTTGTCAACATTCTGATTTGTGAGCTAAATATCAGGTTTAAACATGTAAGTGCAAACCACGCATGAAGTGCATTGAAATTGAGGTTGGATACCAGAACATCGTACAAGGAATCATCAAAAAATGGTATGCTATCTTCTATTTCTTGAATCTAAATACCACACTTTAAAATGTGAACAGAGTACATTTAAATTGTTTATACTCACCTGACAAATTTCCGTCCACGCGGACCGCTGTTCAGAACTCGGTGCGGTTAACCAGCTCCTTCAGATTTCTGACGAGAGGGCTGTCAGTCGCCCAGTGTGTCTCACATCTCCTGTAGGCACAGCTCGGTGACCGTGAGAGAGGTCCAGCACAGAGCGGAGAGCTTGTACTCTGGCTGGCCTGTGAATCGTCACAGCCGTCGTCATGTCCGGCTGTAGCTGCAGCGTCCCTTGCTGATGCAATGTCCTGTGCTCTTAGCAGCCCTGCGTCAGACTGCGTGAGTGCCAGATGCGGTTCAGACATAAAGGGTCTAGTGGTCTTGCTCATGACTTAATTATCATTGAACCAAAAATAGTGGAGTGAAAAGGTAACGGTTTTCTACTTCCTTTCAGGTTCAGAAAAACATTTCTTTTTCCAGTTTGGGGTCAGTTTCCAGTGAAAATTCCGGTGGTCTTTGGTTTTGGTTTTTGGTTCCGTTCCAGTTTGAAACTATGGTTTCCCTTCCTTGGAGATCTCCATGTGGCCTGGCATCTGTCTCCCTCCCACCCCCACCCCTCCTTGCTTAATCTGCTTTATGTCCCAAAAGAGATCGATAAGACACACCCTATACCAATACCCCCTCACTAATGTAACAAAACCCATTCCCAAGTGGGGTTATAACCATAGGCATAGGGGTTAGAAGGAGCCCTGGTGGCACAGTGATTAAATGCTCAACTGCAGGGCTGGTGGTTTGAACACACAGCCATTCTGCAGGAGAAAGACGAGGCAGTCTGCTTTCGTAAAGATAACAACTTTGGAATCCACATGGGGCAGTTCTAGTCGGGCCTGTAGGGTTGCTGTGGGTTGGCACTGACTCTATAGCAGTGGGTTTGGTTTTAGATAGGGATTAGGATTTACAGCGCATTTTGGGGGGACGATTCAGTCCATAGCAGGAGAGGAAGCCATTGCAGAAGGGTATGCACAGTAAGGGAGGAAGATGGTGTCTACAATGGGGTAGAGAGCAGGAAAGCTTCCATCCTTAGTGGGAGCAGTGAGTCCAAACAAAAGAGAGAGAGGGTGGGCCTTCCACACCAGGTGAAGGACTTCGGGTATTCTCCTCAAGCACTAGGGAGCTACTGAAGGGTGATGAGCAGAGGAGACAACATTTGAGGAATGTGCTCTGGCAGAGGCATGTAGGGGTGATAGGAATTTGTGAGGTTGGAGGAAAGGAGGCCATTAATGCCATCCCCAAGGAGCCTTGGTGGCACAACAGTTAAGCACTTGGCTGCTAACCACAAGGTTGGTGGTTTGAACCCACCCAGTGGGTCTGCAGGAAAAAGGCATGCTGATTTGTTCCCATAAGGGGCACTTGGACTCTGTCGCATGGGGTCGCTATGGGTCGAAGTGAACTCTATAGCACCGAACAACTACATCATCCCGGAAGACAGGAGATGTAGGGAAGAAAGGCAGGAAGACCTGCAGGCAGGCCTCGGTTCCTGCAGAGGGCGTGGCCGCGCTGCTGACCACGCCTTCCTCCTCTGCCTCCACCCTGTGCTTCCGGCAGGTAAAGCAGAACTTGCTCAGCGTCTCCTACCACATTGCCCAGTACACCAGCATCATTGCTGACCTGCGAGGCGAGATCCAGAGGCTCAAACGCAAGATTGATGAGCAGGGAGGCCGGGGCCAGGCCCGGGGCCCGCTGGACCGGGGCGACATCCGCCACATCCAAGGTGCATGCAGATCCGCCCTCAGCCTGTCTCAAAGTGCTGTGGGCTCGGGCAGTGCTGGGTTCACATCCAGGCTCTTCTGGCCGGGTCGCCTTGGGCTAGTCACGCAGCTACTCTCAGCCTTCTGTTCTTTAATTGTACAGTGACATCGTGATCTCTGCTTTGGAGCGCTGCCATATAGAGTGGGTGGGATCACACGAGGGAGGGCCACACGAGCATTTAGGTGTGTGCTGGGCAGGCATGCAGGATCACGCAGGGTTGTGAGGTCGGGCCCTGCGCCACCGGAGGGGCATCATTCCCTCAGAGACTGTGGGTTTGCTCTGATGCATCTCGTGCAGATGGCAGTAGAGTGTCCTTTTTTATAGGTGCTATAAGAGTTAGTGGGGGAGCCCAGTGGCACAGTGGGTAAGCTCTCAGCAGCTAACCAAAAGGTCAGTGATTCAAACCCACCAGCCACTCTGCAGGAGAAAGATGTGGCAGTCTGCTTCCATAAAGATGCCAGCCTTGGAAACCCTAAGGGTAGTTCTCCCCTGTCCTGTAGGCTCACTATGAGTCGGAATCAACTTGACAGCAGTGGGGAAGGGCTAGCGGAAGCAAGCTGGGAATTATCTTTTGAACGGAAGCCTGAAGACTCAGTTGTGGGATTGGGGCATGGAAGGAGGTAGTAACCCAGGAGGTCTTTCTGGAGGAGGTGACTGGACAGGAAGTGGGAGCAGTAGTTTGGTTAAGAAAGAGAGGGAAGGGCTCCAGGCAGGCCCAGACTTCTGGTCCGAATCCGCCTCCTCCCTGGCTGTCTCCGTCCCCTGTGCTCCGCGCAGCCGAGGTCCAGCCGCACGGCGGGCAGGGGGAGCAGGCCGAGATGGCCCAGCTACGAGAGCAGCTCCTCAGTGCCTTCCAGGAGCAGATGGACGTGCGGCGATGCCTGCTGGAGCTGGAGAACCACGCCATGGAGGTCCAGGTTGACACCTCCCGCCACCTGCTCACCATCGCAGGGTAGGCCCCACGCCACCCCCGGACCTGGGCTGCGCACGGCCTCCTGCCCTCCTCCAGGCCTAAGTCCTGTGTTTCCCTGGGGTGGGGCTGCCACAGCTGGGAACACGAAAAGTCTCGCCGGGCCCTCAAGTGGCAGGAGGAGCAGCGGAAGGAGTCACTCACCAAAGACGACAGTGAGAAGGACTCAGACACAGGCGACGACCAGCCCGACAGCCTGGAGCCGCCAGAGGTGGCCTCCGCCCGGGAGAACATCGCCGCCCTGTTGGGTGAGCAGAAGAAGCTGCACGAGGAGAAGGTGCCAGGGTCTGGGGGGCAGGGAGGGGGGTGTGAGAGGCCTGGCAGCAGGAGCTGGGGAGAGGAGTGGGGGGACCTGTGTGACCTTGGTGAAGTTGTCAGCCTCCCTAAGCCTCGTGTTCCTCCCCAGGGCAGTCATGGGGCCGCCCTAATGGGGCTGTTGGGAAGATTAAATGCCTGGCAAGTACTTAGGACTGCAGAAAGGGTAGCCAAGGTTATAATTAGGACCTCGGGATAAGAGCCTTTGCCCTCTGTTCTGGGGACCAGAGCAGTTCAGGGTATTCTCATCAGTTGCCCTGGAGTGGATTCCAGTTCATGGCGACCCCACGTGTGTCCCAGTACAGCTGTGCTCCACGGGGTTGTTTGTTGTTGTTGTTATGTGCCCTGGAGCCGGCTCTGACCCATAGCGACCCCTCCTTGGGTTTCCGAGGCAGTATCACTAGGGAAGTAGATTGCCCAACCTTCCTTCGGAGGAGTGGCTGGCGGGTTTGAACTTCCAGCCTTCTGGTTAGCAGTGAAATGCCTTAGGCACTACGCACCAGAGCTCCTCCACAGGGTTTACAATGACTGGCTTTCTGCAAATAGATCACCAGGCCTTTCTTCCCAAGTGCCTCTGAGAGGGCTCAGAGGTTAACCCTTGATCACATACACTGTTTGCACGACCCTGAGGATATCAGACAGGCTGGAGTTGGGCAGATACTCACCAAGGCTGGTTCCAGGGTGGCAAGAAGGTGGGCGCGGAGGGGCAGTTAAGAGCGTCGCCTGGTTGCAACCTCGCGAGCTGACCCGCGGGTGGAGCTCCAGGCCGGAGGCCGGAAGCCCTGGCGGGAGGTGGGGAGAGGTGAGCTCCTAGCCCGGCCTAGAGTGACCCCGCACCGCCCCCAGCTGGCGCTGGAGCAGCGCTGTCGCGAGCTGCGCGCGCGGGGCCGGCGCCTGGAGGAGACGCTCCCGCAGCGCATCGGCTCGGAGGAACAGCGCGAGGTGCTCAGCCTGCTGTGCCGGGTGCACGAGCTCCAGGTGGAGAACACCGAGATGCAGTCGCACGCGCTGCTCCGCGACGGCGCGCTCCGCCACCGCCGCGAGGCCGTGCGCCGCCTGGAGCAGCACCGCAGCCTCTGCGACCAGATCATCCAGGGCCAGCGGCAACTCATTGACGGTAGGGCCCGCCCCCGGCGCTCATGGCGCCAGCTAGCGGGAGGGTCGAAGCGCATGCGCTGAGCCCTGTCCCTCCTCCCGCAGACTACAGCCTAGCCATCCCTCAGCACCTGGAGGAGCTCTACGAGGTGTACCAGCGGGAGCTGGAGGAGGGCAGCCTGGAGCGGGCCACCATCATGGACCGCGTGGCCTCCAGGGCCTTGCAGGTGGGTGCCTGAGCACGGGCACGCAGAAATATGTTGAGCGCACTTGCTGAGGGAGGGGCTGGTGGCAAGGCAATGCCTGCAGGCCGTGTCCCAGCTGGCTGGCTCTGGGAGTTGCCTCCCTTCCCCTCTACTCCACCCCACCCCTAGGCCTTCTTCTCTGGCCCTAGCCTCCACCCAGGTCTAGGGGTCAAGGTTGGCCAACTGAGAGATCAGAATGGCCCCAGATGCCCACCCCCCAGGAGGCAAGTGCTTGCTCCCAGGTAGTGCCACCAGGGATGCCCAGCAAAGCAGACCACAGTTTATGCTTCGGGTCCTAGAATGCAAGCCCCTTGGCCCATGTTACCACCCTTGCCATCCTGTGCTGTCACCTGGTCCAGACCCAAGTCTTCTGACTGTCTGCTCCTGGCCCTCCCTACAGGACAGCTCCTTGCCCCAAATTGCCCCAGCAGGAGCCACGCTCACCCCGGACTCTGATTTGGAGAGCGTGCAGACCCTGAACTCTGAGGCCCAGCGCCTGCAGAACAGTGTCCTCCCCCCGCTCAGCACAGAGAGGTGAGGCCGGGGGGCTGCTTCCCGCCAGTCCTGCCTGAACTACCCACTGCACCATTTGGGGTGCCAGCCCAGACCAGGGCAATCGGGGGATGTGGCGCAGGAAGGGAAGGGAGGAGGAGGCACAGGTCAGGGCCAGGACTCCTGGGCGCTCTCTCTCCCTTCTGCAAACAGTTTCTGCCCTGGGGTGGGGCTGAGTCCTCAGTGGGACCAGCTTGGCCAACCGCTACCCCCTCCCTCCTCTGCCAACCCCAGTGAAGCCAACCACGTGTTCAAGGCCAGTCCCCGGGCCTGGCAGGTGAAGGGCTCCTCTGTGCCCACCCCGCCCCCCATCCACATCAGTGGCCTGTTGACCCAGGAGGTGAGAGCTCTGAGCACCCGCTGGCCCCTGGGCTCCACTGCGGGGGCTGGAGGGCACAGGGATAAGGATGGCACCCATTGGTTATGATGGAGCCTTGCTAAAACGGCCAGCCCCCAGAGCCACCCCCATCTCTGCCGAGGGGTCCTCGGGTCCCTGCTGTGCCTAGGCCTCCCTTCTTCTAACCGCATCACCCCACAGGCCCCCGCTCTGGACAGCCTGGTCAACTCTTCCCCTGACAGCAGCGAGAATCTGTCGGAGAAACCCTTGTCCTATAAAGGTGTGCCCCTGCCTGCCCTTCCAGCCCTGGCCTGGCACTGCTCAGACACCCAGCCCAGAGCCCTTTCTTGCTGTCCGGATAGCTCTGTAGAGAGCCTCCAGTGCCGAGAGTGGTTTACCCACCCGCTCAGAGACACACAGCACACCTAAACATTAGAATGGGGAACACAGGACACTTAGGATTGCGCCCCTCCCCCACTCAGCTACAATTGCAATAAATGGCTGGACCCCTGGCCCTAGGCTAAGCCCACTGTTTGTCTTCACAGTACCCCTATGGTGTTAGTTTTATTAGCCCCCGTTTCCAAGTGAGGTTAAGGAACTTGTCCAAAATTACTTATTGGGCGAACAAGTGGGGAAGCTGGGGTTCAAGACCAGGCAGTCTGCCTCCTATCCATTTCCACCACAGCAGAGGAAGGGTGCGTGAGGGGCGACCACTGTGTGGCCTTGACCGCGGTGGGTGCACCCTCTGTCCCGCTGCAGAGCGGAAGGAGATTCTCACCGGCACCAAGTGCATTTCGGTGAAGGCAGCGCGGCGGCGCTCGCGGGCCCTCGGCGCTGACGGGCGCCCCCTGCTGGCGCCCGCGGCCGAGCGCAGCAGCCTGTCCCTGCAGTCGCTGAGCGAGGCCGATGATGCGCCGCCGCCCAGCCCCGCGCTGCAGCATGCGGTCAGCGAGGACAACCTGTCCAGCAGCACGAGCGAGGCCCCAGTCCAGGCGGCGGGGCAGCGCGGCGATGGCCCTGGGCCTTGGCTGCGCGGCCAGAAGAAAAGCTCTCGCAAAAAACAGGACTCGTTGGAGGTCAAGAGAAGAAAGCGGAGGTCCCGGTCCTTCGAGGTCACAGGGCAGGGGGTGAGGAAAGGGGCAGGGGCGGGTGTCTTCTCTGGGCCCTTCTCTGTTGGGTGGGCCCTGGACCTAGCTCTCCCAGCACCCACACCCTCAAAAGTTCTGTCCCCCAGGCTGGGGCAGATCCCTTATAGCAGACCTCTGTGTGGCTCTGGCCTAAGCCCACTGCTTCCCACCACTGCAGCTGTCCTGCCCCAAGAACCATCTCTTGGGGCCCCGTCCTGTTGAGAATGCCTCAGACCACAGGATGCCAGTCTACGGGCACCCTGCTCCTGGTATCGGGCACCCTGCTCCTGGTATCGGGCACCCTGCTCCTGGTATCCGGCACCCGGGGAAGATCATGCTTCCTTTGGCCAAAGTCAAACTCCCTCCAAGCCAGAATCCCGGTGAGTACCGGCCAGGGAGGGAGCAGGGCCCGGGCAAGAGGGGGCATGTTGAGCTCCTTAACCACGTGGCTGTGGGGGGGCTGGAAAGATGTTTCTCAAAGTGTGTTCGTGGACTGGCCCAGGAGCCGCAGTTCTTGGCATCGTGCCCCTAGGGAGTTCAAGGCCACTGGGGGATGGGAGAGGGGATTTGGAGCCATTTCTAAAGCAGGCTTTCTGGTCTTGCAGGCCCTGGGGACCCCTCACCCCTTCCTGTTCCCCCCAACCCAGCTGGCGTTTCCCGACGGGCTACCCGAGGGCCCTGGCTGCCCCACGGGACGGGCACCCACGGCAAAGATGGACGTTTCCGGCGTAACTGAGGGGCTCTGCCTGGAACCCAGCACACACTGAATGGGGGTATAGTGGGGAAATGGCAGCTGGAGGCAGGGCAGATGGGGGTGAGCAGGGAGCTGGAGCCCAGGATCCCAGAAGCCTGGGCTCCTGAGACCCGGGAATTGTCAGGCGTCTGCCTGACCTTTCCATGCTTTCAGTGCCGCCAGGGAAGGGAGGTGACCCCAGAAGGCATGATCCAGACAGCCGGGGTCCCCGGCCCCTCAGCCCTGGGCAGAGCCCTGTTGCCAAAACCCTGCACAGACCTGGGGCCAGACTCGGCCTCAGAAATGGGGGAGGGGGGGCAGTTAGTGAGACTGGGCTCCTGGGCCCACACTGGGGCAAGGGATGGTTGGGGAGGGGGCTGACACATAGTATGGGGGTAGGGAGGTTTGGTTTGTTACTTGACAGTGGCTTTGTTACTCTCTTTTTTAACAATAAAGTCCCATTTGGGAACTGGATGTTGCCTGAAATGTGGGGTGAGAAGCTCCTGCCGGGTTCCCCCAGGTGCTGCAGGTGGGCACTCTGACCTTCTGGATGCTCATACCTGCCCCATTCTATGTCTGGGTGGGGGGCCCTCATGGCAGTGAAAGGTGGGTGAATCCCCAGACCTATGGGCCCTGCCTTGGCTGTTTTCACCCAGGGGTGGCCTCGTCAATCATCCCCTCGCCGCTGAGCACCGGTTTATTAAAAATCAAGAACATTATCGTCAAGTCTATGAAAGCGACTCCTGAAACGAGACATCTTGTCTACCACCCTGCATCTTGCCCAGTCCAAGGTTTATAGCGAGGCATTTATTTTCCTATCCGAAGGCGTCCCCACCCCCCGCAGGGCTACTTGGGGTACGGATGAGAGTATGGTAGACCGGCTTGACTATGAGGTGCAGGTGCAGGGCGTTCTCCACCAGGTACTCGGAGTTGCGCCGCTGCAGGTCGGCGTGCGCCAGGAAGTCGCCGGCCTCCTCGCTGCTCTGGTGGAAGTTGTAGGCGTGGCGGACCAGCAGGCGGCCCTGGTGCCGCGCGCCCACCACCAGCACGGTCTTCTGGAAGCTGACACCCGCCGCGTCGCCGCCACTGCTGGCCGGCGTCACCACGAGCCGCGGTCGGCCGTCCTCGGG